TCTCTTCCATGTTCCATCAAGGCAAGTACATGTGAAGAATCCCATGAGAGTTGCCTTTTACTGTACACAATAGGATCTGAACCTTCTCTGACTTTTTTTAGCTCCTTTCTCTGCCTTTTATAACCCACCTTCTTGAGAAGAGATTGAGTAGATAAAGCATAAGGCCAGCCACATCCTTTTGCTGTTTATCAGGGATCATTGGGAAGTGCAGAGGTAAACTAAGAGATGGATAAAGACATCATTGAAGCATCTATCATCTTCTGACCCAGGCTGGAAGTCTTGCATCAGAGGTAGCGCAGACAGGAAGGATGGCATCGTGGAATTTCAGGCATAGAACTTGCTAAATATTTGGAGGTGGAATAAAAGAGTAAGGGAGGATTCAAAAGTGACCGTGAGGGTAATGTTCAAGCTGGCAAGACAGGAAGAATGCTGATGGATTCACAGAGAAGCAAGATGGAGAAATAAATTTTCATAATGTTTTCCTGAAATGCTGTCAGATTTACCCCCCTGTAAGGGTGGAATAAGCCATTTTCAGACATACAAAATCTCCACACAATGTAGTTCCATGCTACCTTTGACAAGAAGCTTCTGAAAGATGTACTTTGCTAATATGAGGGCGTAGACCCCCCAAATAGGCACAGATCTGGGAAAGAAAAGCTACCTCCCAAGACAGAGAAGCAGAGAATTCCAGACTAATGGCAGCAGCTTGTCCCAGGATGACAGCCATAGGGCAGACTGATACAATCCAGACTGGAGCAGGCAGAAGTTTCCCTGAAGAGTTTGATTCAGCGGGACAAACCTGATAAACTACTAAACATATTTGTATATTTCAAAATCTAATGAGGAGAGAGTTCATTAATTGGATAAATGATTCATATATGAAAAATTAGAGATCAAAGTATTACAAGTAATCAAAAAGTTACACCAGAAAGCGAAAGTAGTCAGTGTACTACAAGGATTAGCAGGAAACACATGTACACATCATCATTAATGCAAACACTAAGTAGTCCTCTAAGCACAAGGTTCTTCAATTAATTGGAAGAATGAAAAAAGGAAAGGAGCAGGAAGTGGGGTGTGTGTGTGTGTGTGTGTGTGTGTGTGTGTGTGTGTGTGTGTGTATGTGCCAGCCACAGTATAGCAACTCAGTGAGACCCTGTCT